TTGATTGAAAACCCAAACAATAACTGAAATCTCATTCACTTTTCAATTCCAGACAAAAGTCAATCACTTTTTGATTCACTTTTCAATTCCAACACTAATTACGTCTCGAATATAGACTTCTGTTTGAATTATTGAAATGTTTTCTACAAAAAGTGAACACAAATTGTATAACAAAACTATATAACAGTCCGTATAATAAGAGTACAATTTATATAAATTTTTTGTGGAAATATTTTGAATAACTTTTGCGCGTTTTTATAATACAGTCAACACTCGTTAATATTTCAAACTATTTGTTATTTGGGTTAAATTAATGGATGAGACGGTGAATACAATTAACAAAAAGTATTTTTTATTAAATAAAAAAAAATAAAATTTATTTCATGAATAAATTGAACAAAATTGTAGAATAAATTGTAATTTTAATGCAAACAAAACGAATTGAAATTATATTAATAATTAATGAATGAATTGTTTTTACGGCAATAAAATTTCGCGCATTTGTATTGAATTGTTTTAATGCTCTTTAGTTTAGGACTTCTCGACAACAGATCCGTTAAAGCATTGTCCGAGAGATCATCGCCTCCTTTGCATTGAATGACAAGCATTTGCAGCGCCGGTAGTCTTGAGATGTGAGACAAACACTCGCTGTCTTTAGTGTTATACATGTTATGAATGAATAGATATTGAAGTTGTGGACAATTTTTACAGACAATTTCCATCGCTTTTGCATTCATTGGCTTTAAAAATATGTCTAAATGTGTTAACCGGTGGCAGTGTCTCAACGGATCCAACACTATCTTATCGACGGTCGCTATTATGGATAAATTCAATCGTCTTAATCGCCAGATATATCGCAACGAATCCAATGTCTTGGCATTGAATTCATAAATGTACTGAAGTCACAGAACTGGAGTGACAATCGTTGCAATTGTTTGCAATGAACACCAATTGTGCGCAAAGAGTCGTTCAATGAGTCAACACAAGTCATTATAATTATATTAAGTCTCAATTCCCGTAATTGTGTTAATTGTGACAATTGTCCGCACATTTCGGGCAGTGTTTCATATGTTTCAAGTCTACACATCTTTACGACAAGACATTTGAGTGACTGATTGTGTGCCACAAATGTAGACAATCGGTGGTAATCATCGGCTGAATAGATATTTAACTCAAATGTATTCAAATTCTTTGCCATTATTTGTAAGGAAGTGTCAAAGACTTGTCTCAAACCAAAGACATTCAAATGAGACAATCGGTGGCAATGAGTGAGTGATTGAATGTCGATATAATCATCGGTAACATCGATTCGTGTGACCAGTGGTCCGATTGTAGGCATTGTTTGTCCGCTATTTTGCCATAAATTGCACGAAATTTGCCGCAAATTAAGACAATTGTCTCGAAATATGGCAAACACTTCGGGAATGTGTTCTCTATTCTCTGTACTCCATATTCTTCGGCAGTCAATGGTTTCAATCTTCGGAAACTTTATGGCAATTGTGGCCAACGTTTCAGTGATTGTTGTTTTAAGTATTTGTTCAATAAATCGGTCGTTGATATCAATGCAAACAACACTCCCGAAGACTATTCTCCGGAACTGTTTGGACACACTTTCGCATTGAAACAAATCTCCAAATGAAAGGTAAGACAACAGAAGTTGACACAAATCATCACCGAATCTGTCCATTGAGTTCTTCGCGTAAATCTTTGGCTAAAATGCGACACAAAAACAATTAACTCAATAAACAATGAATTGCTTAACAAATACCTGTTGTCTGTCTTCACAGCCATCTGTGGTCTCGAGTGATGCCATCTTTTGTGTCAACTCTCGCTCCATATCTTGGGATCAAATGAATTGATTGAACGAAACGTTGATTCACTTATGATTTCAAACGACAATAACGTCTCGAATATAGACTTCTGTTTCAATTATTGGAATGTTTTCTACAAAAAGTGAACACAAATTGTATAACAAAACTATATAACAGTCCGTATAATAAGAGTACAGTTTGTATGCATTTGTTGTGAAAATATTTGTGAATTTCATAAACTTT